TGGAGGAATGCTGCTTACTGGCTTGCTTCCTTGGCCCCTGCTCAGCCTGCTTTCTTATGCAACACAGGCTCACCTTCCCAGGGGTGGCACCACCCACAGTGGGCTGGGCTCCCCCACATCACTCATCAAGAGGCTACCCCACAGACATGGCCACAGGCCAGTCCAATAGAGGCAATTTCCCGATTGAGGCTCCCTCAACCCAGGTGTGTCAAGTTGACACTAAAGCTATGCACCCTATGTGTGTAAACCCCCAGTGGTCAGAAGAGGGCATTGGATTCCTGGAGTTACAGGTAGTTGTCAGCCACCATGTGAGTGCTGGGAACTGAACCCTGGTCCCCTTAACCACCAAGCCATCTCTTCATCCCCCTAATCCTAAGCTTTTGATGAGTTTGCATCAGACCAGAAATGCTGATTCTTTTCCATTTATTTCATTAAGAAAAATCCCCTTGATGACTAGAAGTTTCTCCATTTCATGAGAAGCTACATGATGAGGGGAAGTCTAGGAACAGGGTTTGTTTTGTTAATTTATTGAGACAGGGTCTCACTATATTGCCCTGACTCACCTGAAACTCACTATATAGACCAGACTAGCCTGGAACTTGCAAAGATCCTCCTGCCTCGGCCTCCATAGTGTTTGGATTAAAGGCATGTGCCGTCATACCAGGCTGGAGTAGAGTTTGGAGCTCTGCGTTATACTCCCACTTTCTCTTCACGTGGTCTGTGCATCCTTAAGGAATTGGCTTTTTCTATATAGTGGATACAGCTGCTCTGTCCTGTTGGCCTGACAGCTTTGAGGAAGGTAAACTGAGTTTGCAGTGTGTGCACAGAGCACTGTGCAGGTGGTAAGGATTTTGTTATGGTACATAAACTTTGGTAGCTCCTGCTCCTGTAGCATAGCTCTAGACCCAGGCTGCTTTGCTGTGATGCCTGGGTAGGAGACAAATGACTGTCCCTACCAGAGGGCATGTTCTCGCCCTACATCCAGTTTCCTAGAGAAAACAACAAACTAGCAATTGACCATGAAATCCAGTCTCAGCCGGGATGGCCTTGAGCTCCTGATCCTCCTGCTTCCACCTTCCACGTGCAGGGACTAGTCTAAGACTGACTAAAGCTTCCGTAGGTTTTTGCATTTTGTTTTGCTCTGTTGCCCAGGCTGGGCTCAAATTCAAGTGATCCATCTCAGTCTCCCTAGTAGATAGAACGACAAGCTTGTGCCATTCTGACACTAACCACATTGTTCCTATGTTCTATGAATCTGTCTCTGGAGTCTGCTTACTTTGTTTTATTGTATTTCATAAAACACAAATATTTTTAAATTAATTAAAGATGGAAATGTCAGCGAGTTGGTACCTTGACCTGGTTCTGTGATATCCTTGCAGACATTTGAAGACAGAGGCATCCTGTCAGGAGCAGCCTATATAGTTAGCATCTGGGTTCTTCCCCACAAGTCCTATCAATTTGCTAAAATGTTGCTCCTTAGCAGCCCATTAGACCCATAGTGGGAAGTCTGGAACACATTTTGTCTGGTGATCTGTCAATGTAACATAATTATGTCCATCCTCTATTTTTGTCCTCTGATGTACTGATGATGTTGGCAAGTTTTTACTGTCCCTAGAATGCATTTTCCAAGAAGCCTAAGTTAGAAGAGAATCTGCAGTCTTCTCTGTGCTTTGAAGCCAAGCCTATACATAAGAGTATCTCTGCCTAAGGAAATCCAGGTTCCAGACTTTGAATAGCTCCTTGATCACATTCTCTAGCCTTATCAAGTCTGGGCTTCAGATTTCCCATCTTATAGCACAGGAAGGGAACTAACAGGCCTCAGTGTCTGGCCACCATTGCCTGTTCCATACTCAGGTCAGGTATCCTGATATCATGGAGAAGGGTCTTCTCTAACTAGTGCCATAGCCAGACCTTGAGATTGTCTTTTACTATACCAGTGTCCTTATGGGCAAGAAGGCTGGCTACTAAGTACTTGATAGTAGTAGTTTCACCCAATTAGAACCATAAAACTTTTAGCAGTGGTTCTGGAGTTTACTAGTTTGGAACACTTACATGTGACTAGTGGACCCCTCACAGACATAAGAAAGGACATAAGGAGTCGGGCATGGTGGCACATGCTGTCAAGTTAATCCCAACATTTGGGAGGCAGATCTCTGTGAGTTCAAGTCCAGCTTGGTCTACATAATGAGTTCCAGGCCAGCTGGGGCTACAGGGAGACCCTGTCTCAAAAAACCACACACACACACACACACACAAAGGACTTAGGAGCCAGTGCTCAGGCTGCACTGAGGCCACATTTATTTGATGCTCTCTTTCTGTCCAGCCATCTGGGGAGACATCAAGTTGCCTGCTTAAAGGTTGTCATGCTGCTCTCATGGCTGCTATTCCCAGCTCTCATCAAGTTCTCAACTGATGATTTCTGCTGAGCCCTAGGAGTACCTGTTCCACTCTGAATAAGTATGACAAGGAATAAAGAAACTCTCTGAGTTCAACTCCAGGTCTCAGAGTGTTGAATGGCCCTAAGAACAGACTGCAGTTTCCTCCTATCTTAGCCATCTACAACATGATGTGTCAGTGAAGGAAAATAGGCACAGAGGACATTGCAGCCACCTCTCTCCTCTTCATCCTCCATCCTGGTTCCCTGGCAGGTGATTTTTTTTTCTTTCTTTTTTGTCTTTTGGAGACAGGGTCTCCCTATAACCCCAGCTGGCCTGGAACTCACTGTGTAAACCAGGCTGGCCTCCATCTCACAGAGATCTGCATACCTCTGCTTCTGAAGTGCTGGGATGAAAAGCATGGGACCATCACACCTAGGTTTTTTTTTTTGGCTTTTTAATGTAGTTTTTCAAAAATATTTTATTTGTGTGTGTGTGTGTGTGTGTGTGTGTATGTGTATGTGTGTGTGTGTGTGTGTGTGTGTGTGTGTGTGTGTGGCCTGCATGTGTGTATAGTGCAACCCTGTCAAGCAATGCCCATAGAAATTGGAAGGCATCAGATTCCCCTGGAACTGGAGTTACAGTTGTTAGCTGCCATGTGGGTGCTGGGATTCAAACCTGGGTCTTCTGCAAAAACAGCCAGTAAGTGCTCTTAACCACTGAGCCATCTCTCCAGCTCCTTTCTTTTGATTTTTTTGAGACAGGGTCTCCCTGTAGCCCCAGCTGTCCTGGAACTCACTATGTAGACCAGGCTGGTCCTGAACTCCCAGAGATCTGCCTGCCTCTGTCTCCCAAGTGTTGGGACTAAAGGCGTGTGCCATAAAAAAAAATTTTTTTTTAAAGACAGAAACAAGCCGGGCATAGTGGCACATGCCTTTAATCCAAGCACTTGGAGAGGCAGAGGTAAGTGGATCTCTGTGAGTTATTTTGATATATCACAGTGAAAGATTTATCGTCCTCTTTTTTTTTTAAAAAAAAAAAAAAAAAAAAAAAAAAAAAAAAAAAAAAAAAAAAGACAGAAACAAAGCAAACAAAAATTAAAAAATAAAAAACTGAAACAAGCAAAAAAGATAAACTTTTTGTCTTAAGCCAATGCTACAAAAGGTGTCTCAACTTGACCGTTATCCTACTTTCCCCATCTCTGAGAAGTAGTTTTCCTTCTATGCAAAGGACTCTCAGAAAAGGTATGTACCTCCCATGGTTAAACAAGTAACAGGAAAGGGAAGACTCAGCGACTGGTGTGTAGTTCCACAGCCCCTGCTCTACCATGCAGATGACAAGTGACAGATGACAAGCCTACTTCTCTGGATCCCAGCAACCACTAACTGATGCCTGTGTCTTGCAGAACTGCTGGAACTGTGGCCGAAAAGCCAGTGAGACATGCAGTGGCTGCAATATCGCAAGATACTGTGGCTCTTTCTGCCAACACAAGGACTGGGAGAGGCACCACCGCCTCTGTGGCCAGAGTCTGCATGGTCACAGTCCCCACAGCCAGAGCCGACCACTACTTCCTGGAGGGAGGGGCTCCTCAGCAAGGTCTGCTGACTGCAGTGTGCCCAGCCCAGCCCTGGACAAGACCTCAGCCACCACGTCGCGTTCCTCAACACCTGCCTCTGTGACAGCCATTGATGCCAATGGACTCTGAGTCCCAGATTCCGCCTACCCTGATGACCACTCCGTATGGCAGAACCAAAAGGGTTTGACAGTTGGAACAAGTAGCTGTTGAGTCATCAGCAAGAAACTAAGTGGCAGGAAGCATCCAAGCAATACTCCACAGCCTCTCTGGGATTTGCCACGTATCCTTGGAAGAACTAGTACATCATTCTCTGCAGGGACGTGGCTTAAGCTGCCTCCTCCATGGCTTTCTTGGTATGTTTCCTCCAGCTAATGCTGGCATAGCTAGCCCTTTCTCAGTGTAGACCACCAGCTCCCCTCTGACACCTTGCATCAGCAGAATGTCAAAAGTGTCCAACCAGGCACCTGTGCTCTCTTCCCCCATTCCATCCATATTCCTCATATGGTAGAGACCTGAAGGCTGACAGAGCTGAGGACCAGGCCTTCATCCTCCTGCCTCCAAACAGTTTTTGAGCTCTAGGTCCACCTTCAGGTGATACTGATTGGCCTAACAAAGACTTGGGTAGCCTGATAAGTTGCCACTAATTCAGTGAAAGCATTCATGATGATAAAAATGAAAGTCTTCCCCAAGCATCACAGATCATTTTGGACAAGATTTTTCCAACCTGGCTGTCTCCTTCAGTTTGAAACCCAGTTTCTGCAATCTCTCACTTGAAGATTTTGCTTGTACAGAAAACAGTCTCCAGTGCATGAATTGGTCTGAAAGGATGAGACTCTGTGATGTTAGTCTTTCCTCTCTGAGCATGTTGGCCAAACTAGTGTCTTCAAAATATTCAGTGGATTACCTCTTGGAAATGCAAAACCCTTTACCATTGCTTGACTGCACAGTCATCTCATTCTGTGCCCTTTAATATCTCAGACTGTACATGTCTGGATCACTGAGGGCAGCTCTTACTCATGGGCTTTGTTTGGCAGCTGTTGGGCTATAATTCATTCATGCTGGATGTGTTGGGGTATTGATAGGAGTTCTCCACCCTTCAGACATGAAAGAATTCTTCACACCTGTTTTTGTAGGTTATCAGGCATATAGTCTCCATCTCCTTTTCCTGTGGTATCTGTTAGATAGCATCTCTCTCAGCTCAAAAAGGGTTTGTGAAGTGTGAGAACCATTTGGGAAAGCCTGACCATGTTTTCTTCCCATCTTGGGTTTTCCAGCTGCTTACCTTGATTCTCCAAGCAGGACATTACCTGTACCCTGTTCAGAGTGCTGAACACTGCCCTCTTGCCTTCTCCCAGCCATTCAGGTTTTGTTTGGAGCCCCTGGACCTTGCCCACTCACCATGTCTGGGTCTCCAGTATCCTCCTGCCCTCTGCATTCTGTTGGGATGAGTCTTTTGACTTTGATCCTGCTGTATTTTGGAAGCTATGGTCAAACCATCAACTTCTGTGTAATGACCAACTCTAAGTAATAGCTTTTGGTCCCATAAAAGAAAGGGATCTGCATAAGGGGCATTGTCCTTGCACACATTTTTAGCTGATTTTAAGATTATTGCATCCCCACCTTATCTTGACCAAGGATTTTCAGTCTTAGAATCTTGCCACATAGACCTTTAAAATACTGATTTCCACTGCTTAAAATAAGGTAAATCCAGAGAAAGAACAGATAATCATGTTTCAGTATGGAACACCCAAGACCCACTGCTTTCTAGTGAACCTAGTGCAGTGTGGCCTCCCCCACCCCATCCCCATCCCCATTCCCCTCCTAGAACCCCAGTCCCTGGGGACTTCTGGCTCTACTAGGTGAAATCAGCCCCAGGTAGCACTTGCCTATGTTTCCTCAGATACAGGCTTCTACATTAGTCTTTGCAAGAGAATGCCCCACCCCCACAACCCCCAGTAAATTGGGTCTATCCTCATCTTGGTTTCTAGACTCTGCTGACAAGGTACCAGATCAGAAGTGTGTGAAAGGGTTCCATTCATCTATACAAGATAGGAAAGAAGAAATGGAAGTCAAGCTTGGTGGCACACGCCTTTAATCCAAGCACTCTGGGGACAGAGGCAGGCAGATCTCTGTGAGTTCAAGGCCAACTGCTCTACATAGCAAGTTCCAGGACATCTGGGTCTATAGGGAGACCCCATCTCAAAAAGACAGGAAGGAAGGGAAGAGAAGAAACAGTTGAGTCAGGCTGCTTAGAGGTCTGTTTTAAGGGACCAGAAATGCCAGGACTTCCTAGTCCTCTCCTAAGTGAGGGATCATTGAAGGAATGAGAGAACACCAAAGGTAGCCAAGCTGAGGGCCACTTTTAAAGTGTCCCAATAGATACTTCAGGGAAAAAATGTTCCTATCTTGGTTGTCCTCTGGGTCCCCACTTCCACGTACCATTCTTAACTCTGTCCAGTGGTAAAGACTCTGTAAGAAGTTTTGCTGGGATGTGGCTCACTTGGTAGAGTATTTGCCTAGCATCCAGAAGCCCTGGTGCTATATGAACCAGATATAGTGGTGCACACCTTAATCCTGCCATTTGGGAGGTAGAGGCAGGAAGAACCTGAGTTTAAGATCATCCTTGGCTACACAGCAAGTTGAAGCCATGCTCTCAGGAATAGGCAGGCCACTGTGGAAGGTAATGGGCCCTTAAAGGGTCTCTACAGTTCCAGCAGATTTGTTCGTGCATTTGGATGGTAGTGAGGGCACAGGTTAAGTGGCTGTTTCCAAGGCACTCCTAGGTCATCTGCTGCCAAGAATCTCTGTATGGAGACAACACATCTGTCCTCAACAGGTCTTACACCAGGCCTTGGCTGTTGTCCTCTGCAGCACAAACTCTGTCCACTTGGAGCAGTTGGTCTCCAAGAATTATAGCACATCTTCATGACTTTTACCATTTTCAGCTTCTAGATGGAAAAATCTACATTTTCCTATGTATAGCCCTGTCTCAAAAGATAAATGATCTCCATTTCTATCACCTGCTCACAGAGGGTTTAGACATTTTTCTGAGTGGTTCTGGAAGATATTTCAGCAAATGTGTTTGAAGATTCAACAACAGACCTGGAATTTTATGGTCTCTGGTTCTCCAGAGAGCACATAAGGAGTGAGCAGATGGCCATTGTCCTGGAAACTGCATAAGGGATTGTGGGTAGAATAAATCACTACAAATAGGACACATCTTGGAGATTTTCTTCAGAATTGGACTAGAACCAAGGTTTCTAGGCTCCTAGGTTCACAAGACCAACCCAGCTTGCTTTGAAGGTTTATAGCTATTTGCAAAGAACTGGGTTGTGGCATGTTTGAACCAAATGTGAAAAAAGCCAGAAGGACCTGATCTGGCCAGTGTGGGCCACACGGCCAGCTGTGGAAAAGCCCTGTCCCCTCTGAGCTGGCTGCAGAGCCAGCCACTCAGCAGAGCCTGCCCACTCAAGTTTAGTTCTCATGAAGCCAAATGCTGACTACCTGCCTCTGCCTCGTGTTGACACCACATTTCCAAAGATGATGGAGTAACATGAGCCAGGAGGGAGTTAGGAGGTCTGAGGGAGGGCCTTGTACCTCCAACCACCACCTCCCTCCACAGCACAAGAGGTGGTGTTTCCCATGCACACCCCATCTAGTCAGCCCTCCAGCTGCCCAGTGTAAACTCCTGTCAATGCTTATACCAAATAGGGCTTGTGCAGCTGGTGTCTGTCAGGGACATCCCCATCCCGGTCTTGTAGTTGCCAGGGAGAAGCAGCAATAAGCATTCAGTGAATGGTTGAAAGGGCCATTGGATTATAAGGTCTTCATTCCATTTACATGGCTTTTCAAGTTCCTGATGAGGCTACAAAGGCTCTGTCCATAGAGAAAACCAATAATGTAAATAAATAGAAAACCAAGCCTCCAAGCACGGTTTGCAGAGGTGGATGATGTGAAACCACCACAAGACACAAGAGTCTGGTTTTTCTGTGCTTTGTCATTTTACTCTTGATAGGAACTTTTGTTACTTAACTCTGTGCATAACTTATTTAATGTACTGTATAAATGAACCAAAACTGTTAAATATGTATTTAGTTTGTTCTACTTAAAGTAGTTAATAAAAAGGCTATATTCCTTTTCTGACTCAAGTTGAACTAGACCTGGGAGAGGTAGAGTACTGGGGACAATGTATATTCCAGGTTTCCCAGGTCTTGGGTGGAAGGGCAGTGGGAGGATTTCTAACCATTCTTGCTGTGGCCTGAAAGACATGGTGTAGAGGTGGGGGATGAAGGCAGGAAGTGGCCTGCTAAGGAGAGGGTTCTAGCACAGGGGGTCCAGGTGACCATGCTGGCTGCAGTCAAGGGCCAGCAGTGGCTTACAGACACTCTTGGTTCCTTGATCTTTTCTCCATTCAGTGATATTTTAGTAACAAAATTCAACCACAGAAAGTTTGAAAAATAAGATAAAGGACTTAGACTATTTTTTTCCTGGCAACTCTTGGTATTTCCCTATAAAATTTTAACATTAAAGGTACTTGGACTTGTAAATATTTTTTTAAAGCTTTTTTGTTTTGAGCCATGTAGCCCTGGGCTAGCTTGGAACTCATTATATAGATCAGGCTGGCCTCAAACTCACAGAGATCTGCCTGCCTCTGCCTCCCAAATGCTAGGATGAAGGTGTGTGCCACTAGGGGTTGACATTTTATTTTTAATTATGTGTCTGTGTAGTGAATTCACATAGGTACCTGCAGAGACCAGAAGAGGGTGTTGAATCCCACCTGATAGAGGTGCTGGGAACTGAATCCAGGTCCTCTACAAGAGCAGAATGCGTAACTGCTGCGCTATCACTCCAGACCCCATTTCTGGTTATTGAAATGCTTCTTTTCTATGGAAGCCCACCACCTTGCAGCTATCTCCAGCAGGCCATAGTGGCCCTGAAACTTATATGGACACTTGATGGGTGAGATCTTCAGTTGTCAGTCTACTTTACTAGCCCATGACCTCTGACCTCTGCCTTTCTCCTGTCGTGTTCCCCTTCAGACCCACCTTTCCTCAGCAGCCCTGCCCTAGAGGCTTGGCACCAACAGCTTCTCAGTCCCAGAGTTGGAAATGAGAGATGAATTACTAGATTTGGGGTAGGGGAAGGACTGGGCTGATCCCAGAGGCAGTATGGAGGGATTTTTTTTGTTTTTTTTTGTTTGTTTGTTTGTTTGTTTTTTGAGACGTTTTCCCTGTAGCCCCAACTAGTCTTGATCTCACAGAGGTCCACCTGCCTGTGCTGGGATTGAAGGTATGTACCACCCTGCCCAGCATTTATGAATATACTTTTGAGATGAAAGGAGAAAATACAGTAAGGAAATCTGGGCATAGTGGTACCTTATTTTTTTATTTAGTATTTTTATTTTGTGTGTATGAGTATTATGCCCCATGTATGTAAGTGCACCTGTGTCATGCAATGCCCAGAGGTCAGAAGAGGGTATCAGATCCCCTGGAACTAGGGCTAGTGCTCTTAACTGCTGAATCCTTTCTCTAGCCCCAAGTGGTACACACCTTTAATTCCAGCACTTAGGAGGCTAAGGCAGGAGGATCTTGAGTCCAAGGCCAGTGTGGATGAGTATGTAATGAGACTGTAGAAAGTAAATACACGGAATCCCTAAGGGCAAGAAAATAAGCAGCTAAAACCATAATGGTAATTGACTACAAAAGAGGAAACCTTCTCAAGCTAAGAACTTGAGAAGCAAGCTGCCTGCCAAGAGAGGGCAGCAGGAGACAAGCTCTCACTTCTGGTTCCTGGAAGCAAGCAAGCCAGGTCCCTCAAGGCTTTGGCCTACAAAAAGGCAGCAGGAGGCCCTTGAGATGGCTCAGCAGGTAAAGCTGCTTGCCACTAAGAGTTCAATCCCCAGGATCTACATGGTGGGAAGAGAGAGGGACAGACAGCCTTGTATCTCCTACTATCTAACAAAGGGAAAATGCTAATCTTGGGATTGGAGAGATGGCTCAGCACTGGCTGCTCTTGCAAAGGACCCAGGTTTGGTTCTCAGCACCCACATGTCAACTAAGAACCGTCCATAACTCCAGTTGGAAATCTAATATGGTTCTGACCTCTGGGCATTGTGTGACACAGGTGCATTTATATGCATGCAGGCAATACACTCATACACATACAATTTTTAAGAATGCAAATCTTGGGAGCTGGAGAGATGGCTTGGCGGTTAATAACACTGGTTGTCCTTGCAGAAGACCCAGGTTTGAATCCCAGCACCCACATGGCAGCTAACAACTGTCTGTAACTCCAGTTCCAGGGGATCTGACAGCCTCTCTGTCCTCCAAGGGCATTGCATGACATGGACACACTTACATACATGCAGGCAATACATGCATACACATAAAATAAAAAAAATATTTTTTTAAAATGTTTTTCCAGTGCCTCCTTTAGAAGCTTTGTATTCTAAATCTAATGACTCCGATTGTGGGCCTAAATTTAAAAATACAAATCTTAAGCAAGGAGTGGTGGCACACGCCTTTAAATCCAGCACCCAGGAGGCAGAGGCAGGTGGAGCTCTGAGTTATAGGCCAGCCTGGTCTACATAGCAAGTTCCAGGCCAGCTGGGGTTACAGAGAGACCCTGTCTCAAAAAGACCAAAAAAAGAAAAAAAGTGCAAATTTTGGAGCTGGAGAGATGTCTCGGGGATTAAGAGTACTGACTGCTCTTGCAGAGGACCCAGGTTTGATTCCCAGCACCCACATGGTGGTTAACAACCATCTATAGCTCTTTTCAGGGGATCTAATGTCTTCTTCTGACCTCTGCAGGCATTGCATGATACCGGTGCACTTACACACATGCAGGCAATGCATTCAAACACACAAAATAAAAATAATAAAATATTTGGACAAAAAAAAAATCACTAAACATCCAGGGAAGGCAGAAGAAGGACTGTCAACGATTTAGGCCCACAATCGGAGTCATTAGATTGAGAATACAAAGCTTCTAAAGGAGGCACTGGAAAAACATGAACTGTAAGATTCTGAATGTGATTAGGCAAACTTTTTGAAAATAGAGGACTGGGGGTTTTGAGAGGGTCTTGTGATGTAGCTCAGGGTAGCCTGGAACCATGTAGCTCAGATTGGCCTTGAACTGGTAGCAATCCTACCCCAATCCTCCTGAGTACTTCTATAGGCATGTGCCACCATATTCAGCTCAGGTTTGAAGATAGTGCACAATTTCAGTGTTACTTCCAGAACTCTTATCAGCCAGACCTGGTGGTTCAACATCTATAATCCTAGCACTTGGGAGGTAAAGGCTGGAAAATCAGGAGTTCAAGGTCATTTTCGGCTCTTTAGTAAGTTTGAGGACTGCGTGGGCTACAAGACACCTTTTCTAAAAAAAATTGTACGGGCTAGAAATAGGGCCCAGGGTTAAGAAAGTACTGCTCTTCCAGACGATCCAAGTTCAAGTCTCAGCATCCACTTTGGGTGGCTTGACAATTGCCTATATAATGCCAGCTCCAGAGAATTCACAGACAGTGCACTCACATGCACAGACCCATACATATATACAGATGATTTAACGTAAGTATATTAAATATATATTTGAGACAAAAGTCTCTCTATAACCCCACCTTGCCTGGAACTCATTATATAGACCAGGCTAGCCTTAATCTCTTTTTGGTCTTTTTGAGATAGGGTCTCCCTGTAGCCCCAGCTGCCTGCCTCTGCCTCCCGAGTGCTGGGATTAAAGCCGTGTGCCACCACACTTGACCTCTGTTGCTTTGTTTTATTCTTAATTTAAAAGTGCATTGTTAACTAGGAGATGAATCTGAAAAGATTGGCCACATTATCATCTTGTCTTGCAGTATTTTACCAATGGAGTCAAATGACTTAGCTTTACTGGTAAGAAAAAAATTGCCAGCAACATCCTGGAGCAAGCTAACACAGCCGTTTTAACTCATTTTGCCCATCTGTGTTTGTTTCTGAGTGCTGGTATTTAAGGATGGTGAATTAGGCCCCCAGGTCCCTCCAGAACAAAGGGCTGGTGATTATCTGGGAGTCACCATCCATTCCTCAGCTTCATTGCCGGGTGTCAGGTGCCTTCTGGAGGACAGAATGGCCCGCTGTCTCTGCCCCTTCCATCTGAGCACTAATTCCTATTCAAGGGCATCCCCCTGGCTGTTTTTTGCCCTCCTCTGTGCTCCAACTTTTTAGAAAAATGTTTTAAGTCTAATTTTATGTGTATGAGCACATTGCCTGTGTGTACGTAAGTACACAGATGTGCAGTGCCCATGGAAGTGAGAAGAGCATGTCAGATCCCTGGAACTAGAGTTACATATAGTTGATAGCCACCATGTGAGTGCTGGGAACCAAACCTGGGTCCTCAGAGTAATCAGTGTCTTAACCTTTGAGCCATCTCTCCAGTCTTCCTCTTCTGAAGCTATCTCTATTCCCCATGAGTTCAGCTAACATTCTCTAGTATATCCTAGAAACTTCCAGGAAGGATCAGGACTTACCATTTGCCTCATGCTGGGCTCTTGCTGTGCCATCCACCAGAGCTCAAGGCCTGGCTTTGGCACAGTGTAGGACTGAGTAGAACCCTCTGTCACTGCCCCAGCTTCCTCCAACCAGGGTCCTGAAACCCAAGTATGCTCTTTCTCAATACCTTCCACCCTTGACAGCAAGTCAAGGCACCAGAGAAAAGCCCTGAACTACTTGTTTCTCCTCTAACTTGGGAGGTGCTAGCAATGCCTACCCCCTGGGTTATGAAATGTGATCATGTGAGAGCCAGGCACTTATGGTGGTGCATACCTAGAATTCTAGCACTTGGAAAGTGGTGACTAGAGGGTCAAGAATTCAAATTATTCTGGGCCACATAGTGAGGCATTGCATACTAGGGCAGAAAAAAAAAAAAGACATAAAAAGAGGCTGTAGTTCAGTAGTGGAACACTTGTGCAATGTGTGAGGCCCTGGGTCCAATCGCTAGGTCTTCAAAAGAAAAATTGGTTAACTTAGGGCCAGGCTTGGGCCTGGCATGCCCATAATCCCAGCACTCTGGAGGCTGAACCAGGATAATCTCAGCAAATTCAAGGCCTCTCTGAGGACCCAGTTGAAAAAATAACAAGAGTTAACTCGGAATGCTGAACAGTGAGGTGC